TATTTTATTTTTTCAAAAAATCGAAAAATGACATTTTTGCCATTTTTGCCTCATTTGTGACCCTAGTTCCTTAAAATTACTTGCCAGTGTATAGAAATGTCTTAATACCATTTTCCTTCCTTAAATCTTACTTTTTTTTTTATGCACGGTCTTACATGGTCGGCTTAAATCTTTATGGGGGTTGATTATTTTCATTTTTTTTGGTGTTACAGGTTGCCTATTCGCTTTTAGCTTATAACAATTCTTTTTTAAAATTATTTTTAACGCATTTCCTCGCTCGTGTTTTTTAAAAATATTTCTACTATCGTTTTTTGGGTCGCACAATCATTGTTTTACTATCGCAAGAGTGCAATTGTGATACTTAGTACACATATGTGAAACATGCTCAATATATGGGAAAAAAACAAGTAATCTTTAAGTATTATGCTCAAACATGAATCATAAACATCATGTACTAGACTGATGACATGCAAACACATGAATAACATCATGTATAAGGCCCATGCCGTGCACACCCAAGTTTTACTCAAGCTTAACGAGATCACTAAATCTTTTGTTGGGAAAAGAATATTGAACAAGATAGCAAAAGGCTGCAAATGCTTTATAAGTTTACTCACTCATTGTTATAGAATTTCAGTATATATAGACTTACACAATAACTAGAAATAAAAAATGATGGAAATTATTCTAAACAATTGACCATAAATACAAACAACTTCCTCAAAACTTGGTTAGAATTTTGAATCATATTTCAACATTTCCCTTAATTCAAAATTGCTGTTACAATACTTCAGAACAATTTCTTCTTTTACAACAAGATTACGAATATAATGATGTCGAAGTTTAATATGCTCTGTTCTGCTGTGAAATGTCGGGTTCTTTGTCATAGAAATAGTTGCTTTGTTATCACAAAATATCTTTGTGGCCCCTTTTTGCTCTTGTTGAAGATTAGCTAACACTCTTCTTAACCAAATGGCTTGACACGCTGCTGAAGTTGCTACAACATATTTTGCTTCTGACGTTGACAGCGCCACTGTTGCTTGCTTCTTTGAGCTCCAAGTTATCACTCCTGATCCTAAAGTGAAAACATTGCCTGAAATGTTTCATCTATTATCTAATGATCCTGTCCAATCGCTATTAGTGAACCCATATAATTTGAAATTAGAAGATTTAGAATACCAAATGTCATACTTTATAGTTCCGACCACGTAACGTAATACTCTTTTTGCTGCTCCATAATGAACTTTTGAAGGATATTGCATAAACCTATAAATAATACCAACAGGAAATGCAATGTCAGGTAGTGTGTGAGTTAAGTAAATTAGTCCACCAACCAAGCTTTTGAACCTTCTAACATCTGTCATTTATGCTTCATCCTCATATTGTAATTTTCCATTAATATTCATGGGTGTAGCTGCAGGCTTACAATTAAGCATACTAAATTTACTCCTAATATCTTTGACATATTTTCTTTGTGAAATAAAAATTTCATCTTCAACTTGATATACTTCAAGACCAAGAAGATAGTGTAATAGACTCATATCTGACATCTCAAATTCACTCATCATTTGAGACTTAAATTTATCCAAAAAAGAGTTAGAAGAGCTAATATAAATGGTATCATCAACATAGAGACAAATAATGATGAAATCACTTTTACCTTACTTTTTCACTTAAAGAGTAGGCTCATTCTCACTTCTCATGTATCCTTTTTGTTGAAAATACTTATCAATCTTGTTATACCAAGCTCGAGGGGCCTGCTTTAATCTGTATAATGTCTTTCTCAGCTTGTATACCTTTGTTTCTTTGTCTTTCTTTATGAATCCCTCTGATTGTGCTACATAGACCTCTTCTTGTAAATCTCCATTAAGAAATGCTGACTTGACATCAAATTGATGAAAAGACCACTACAATTCTGCTGCTAATGCTAGAATAGTTCTTATAGTTTCAGAACGAGCAACTGGAGAGAAAGATTCTTCAAAATCTATACATTGTTGTGCACACCCTTTTGCTACAAGACGGGTCTTATGCTTTTGTATGCTTCCATCTGGTGCAAATTTTTTCTTGAACATCCATTTCAAGTTGATTGCATTTGTCTCATTTGGTAAGTCAACCATCTCCCATGTTCCATTTTCATTTTTCTCAATTGACTGCATCTCTTCTACAATGGCTTTCTGCCACTCTTCTTTTTCAGCTGCTTCTTCATAACTCATAGGGTCTGAAACAATAAGAGCAAATTGACATGATGCATATATGTCAGCTAAAGATTTATACTTCTTTGGAGGTGTCTTATCCGAAAATTCTTCAAGAGAAGAGTTGTTTTTAGTGATACTGAAGATGATAAATTTAAAAAATTTTGTGTTGAAGTAGAGACACTAAAAGATGCACTGGAGTTGACCTTTGTCTCTTCATCTAGAGAAACTTCACTTGTATCTTACTGCTCTATTCTTTACTCCAATTTCAACTCACATTTTCATCAAATAGTATATCCCTTCTAACTTAAATCTTTTCATTACGAGGGTTGTATAATTTATATGCCTTTGATTGAGTTCAATAGCCAATGAAAATGCATTTTTCAAAATTTTCATCCAACTTTTGACGAATTTGAGGATTTTTCAAAGCATAAGCAACACAACTTAAAACTTGTAAATGACTTACATATAGTTTACTTCCATGTCATGCTTCATAATAAGTTTGATTCATAATAGCCTTTGTTGGTGAGAGATTTAATAGATAGACAGATGTTGCTACAACTTCGGCCCAAAATTGGTTTGAAAGTCTCCTTGTTTGTAACATACTTCTTGTCATCTCCACAATAGTTTGATTTTTTCATTAGCGATTCTATTTTGTTCTGGAGTGTAAAGAGCTGCTAACTCCTTTTGGATGCCCTTTTCTTCACAAAAAAGATTGAATTCTTTAGATATGAACTTGCCACCTCTATCTGTGTGAAGAACTTTAATGTGGCAGCCACTTTGGTTTTCCACCATAACTCTAAAATTCTAGAACTTCTGAAAAGTTTATGACTTATATTGTAAGAAGTAAACTCAGCTCATGCAACTATAATCATCAATAAATAGTAAAAAGTATATATCCCCCAGACTTAGTTTGCATTGGGCTACATATATTGGTCGAAAAGGACTTTCTAGTTTGCTTGCCATAAATGCATCCTTCACATAAACAAATTGAATCAATTTTTGGTAATCCGAAAACCATTACCTTCATCCCTAAGTATTTTCAGGCCCTTCATATGAAGATGTCCATATCTCAAGTGCCCATATCTCAGAAGCCATAATATGGAGTCATCTTTTATTCTAGCAGCAAGAGCAAAATCCTCCATGTTAGAAACATCCAGTGGAAACATCTTATTTGAAGTCATGACAATTTGAACTTTATGGCCTGATTTCTTATTTGTAATGACACGTGTTGTCATCAAATAGAACGGAATGTCCTCTAGTCATTAATTGTCCAACACTCAATAAATAATACCCTAAATCAGACACAAATTGTACAATATCTAATAGTTTTATCTTACCATGAATGGTTTCGACTTTCACTATGTCTTTTCCCTCGACTTGTATCTCTCTTGTATTTCCAAGTTGCACCTTAAATTTTTGCGTCTCATCAAGCTCTTGGAATAAAGATTTGGTGCTTGTCATATAGTTCGAGCATCCGCTATCAACAAACCATAAATCACTCATTTTTGGATTAATATCCATACATGCCATAAAAAACCTTTCTTTTTCTTCTTCATTTTCTATTCAAAATTCATTTGTTGATCTTTATACCAACAATCAGCTTTTATGTGCCCATGCTTTCTACAATGGCAATATTGTATGACATTTCTTATGTTACTTTGCTCATTGAATTTCCTTTGTCCATCATTTCTCCATCTACCCCTGTTACCACGACCACCATGGAAGCTGCGAAATCCTCCTATTTCACGACTTCTACTTACTAGACGAATATTTTCTCTTTCATTGTTTTCGTTGTTGGCTGTCTCCTTTACTTGTAGTGTCTTTTCTTTATTCTTTTTCGATGATCTATTGATTATTGACTCGTGAGCTTGAAGCGAGCTCATCAGTTCATGAACGAAGAGTATTGATAGCAGCCACCACATGGTCAAACTTTGGAGTTAGGCTTCTAAACTCCTTTGTAACAATTGTTTCATCTAAAATTTTCTCTCCATACACGCGCATCTATTGACTATTGCCATTACTCTGGACAAACAATCGAAAATTGATTCACCATTCGTCATGAGCAAAGCTTCAAAGCACGTCTTAGATATTGCAATTTCACTATTATGAATTTTGAATCTTCTTGAAACTCCTGCAGAATTGACCAAGCTTGCTTTGATGTGGTTGCTGCTGCAATTCGTGAAAAAACAGTCATGAATTGCTTGCTGAATAATGAATAGAGCCTTGACACCTTTTTTCTTGGTTTCTCTTAGTCTCTCGTTTTCTTCCATTGTGGGTTCTAATACATCAACAAACTCGTGCTCCACCAAGTCCCAAAGCTCCTGCGATCTGAGCAAGGTCTTTATGTTGATGCTCCACCACTCATATTTCTCACCATTAAAAATTGGTAGGAGCGGTGCAGAGGAAGAAAAATCAGCTACTTCCATTTTCGTTTTGAAAAAAAATAATCACTTCCCGTGCTAACAAGAACTTCGCTCAGATACAACTTTTTTGGGGAAAAAATATTGAAAGAGATAGCAAAAGACAAAATAGATCAAAGCTGGAAATGATTTATTATTGTTTGCTCACCTAATGACTAAAGAGTTAGAGTTTCAATATATATAGGCTTACAGAGTAACTAGAAATAGAAAATCCTACTCAACAATTGAGCATGAATAAATTCACAAGTTTAGGAACCTACTCCTCTTAAAAACTTGGTCAGAACTTTGAATCATATTTCAACATCTTTGGTCATAATACAAGAAATCTGTACTCTTTTTATTTCAACATCTTTAGTCATAATACAAGAAATCTGTACTCCTTTTATAAACTTAATAGTAGTTTTTATTAATGGAAGAGACATTAAGATAAAATTACAATAGTTTAAAGTACTTGAAAACTAAAAGTAGAAAGTATGAAAATGTAGGACAAAGAAGAATACTTCCGGGAATATTTCAAGTAGACTAATAATGTTTTATGTTATTCAATTATTACCTTGGGTCTTTTTTCTCTCCCTCTCTCTTTTGCAACAAAAATGGAATATCTAGAAGATCACCAGGATCAGGAACAATAAGAGTTGCACCATTATCAGCGGTTGTAATATTTAGAATCATGGAAACTGCTTTCAGGGCCCTAATACAACGAAGAAAGTAACTTGGATTAATAATATGTTAGAAATCAATTAAGATAGACTCATGATACAATTTATAATTTCTACGACTCTTTTGTCAAGGTATATGAATAATATTTGAAAAGTGAAAGATTACCAAAAATACCTCTAAAATTATAGATAATTACGAAAGTGTCATTCTGCTCAAAATCAGATCCAGCCGTTAGATTTCTCCCAAATTTGGATACAATCTAGAATGTTCAAAGATCATCAAATCCAACGGTCGGAATTCAAGTTGGATGGATATTTCCAACAAATTATCCAAAAACTCCAATCCCCAAATTACAACAATTATGGAGGTTTCAAAGTCGGTGTAAGCTTCCCCTATAAAGTCTAAAGTTGGGCAACATTTTAACACAAGAATAGAGTGGTGAGGATTCCTAAACCTTGAGTTGGAAGCTTTTAGATTATGGGTTTTTCTTCCTCGGATTTCTTCTAAATTTGAGGGTTATGGTTAATCATTTTCCTTCCTACCAACTCCTATATATTCCATAGGGGATTTCCAACAAGTTTCGTGAAGGAATCGAGTCCTCAAAAGCTTTAGAATCAGCTACCCAACAAAAGATTTCTAGATTTATTCCGGCGAAAGACATGTTTTTTGGTGAACTTTGGAAGGTTATAACTTGAGCTACAGACCACGTAAAGGTATGAACTTGGTCTTTAATTCTTCCTTGAAACTTCATTTAAAGGTTTTGTGAAAAAATCAAGTCGATGAAAGATCTATACATAGTTGTACAAAGGCAAAACCAGAGGGGTCTGATAAGGAAAAATCGAGATTTTTCAGCCTACCCAAGAAAGAAGATGAAGTCAAAGGTCAAACTTTGACCAATAAAAGTAAAAAATAGCCAAATATTGACCTAACGTCAAATTTTCTCAATTTTAATTCCCTTCTAGATTGGTCCTTATGAAATACTTTAAGGTTCCAGAACTTACACACAATAAGGAGTCTGTGGAAGAAAATTTGAGATAATTCGGATACTGGAAGCTCGGGAACAGAAGTCCTGAATGTCAACGACGAGGTAAGTAGCTACCTTGGACTTTTTGTTAAGAAATACTTGTAGGAGTCACTTGGATTTTCATATGAACCCTGAAATAAGTATGAATTAAGGATATATGAAAGAAAAACTCAAAGAACCATGAGTTCTAGCCCTAAACCGTTCAAATTGCTAAAAAAATAGATAATGTTAAAATAACCCACTAGATGAACTCTGATGCCTATGAAATTTTAACGCTTAGTATATTATATCATGTTGAGGTTATATGTGAAATTTGGTGGTTATTGGATAAGGATAAGTAGGTAAACCAAGAAATAGTGTCAAATGACCATAATGCCCTTACGAATATCTACCTACAGTTCATGACCTAGTTAACCTCCAAATACTATGAAACTCTGTAGTAGATCTTAATTTATGATGTTTGATGGTGTGGTAAAGTTTTAAAGCCATTGGAACTTGTTAAGTAGAAAAATCAAGAATTATGGGTAAAATAACCAAAATTTCCTTGGGACTATTTATGATAATTCCCTTAGGATTTTTTATTCAAGTGCATTGTTCCATTCGTCTCCAAGTAAGAAATTGTTTCAAAATTTTAAATCAGAAAATTTCGGGAAGGTGTATCTTGCTGACAACAAAACCTTGGAGATTGAAGGGAAGGGAGATGTCTCCATACAAACTCCAGTAAGAAATCAGTGGACATTATACATTCCTGGTCTAAAAAAGAACCTGATCTCTATTGGCCAGTTGGATAGCACAGGCTATGCAGCAGAGTTTGAAAAGAGTTCGTGGAAGATTGTGAAGGGCACCATGGTTGTTGCACGTGGCACAAAATCCGAAACCTTATACACTACGGCAGAGTGTATAAACATGATTGCTGCTGCTGAGAGTGTTTCCTATTCAAGTCTATGGCACAATAGACTTGGACATATGAGCGTCAAAGAAATGAAGATGCTGACTGCGAAAGGAGCTTTAGAAGGCTTAAAATCTGTTGATATGGGTCTTTGTGAGAGCTGTGTTATGGGCAAACAAAAACGTCTTAGTTTCACAAAGACTGCCAGAGAACCGAAGAAAGTGCAGTTGAAAATGATCCATACAGACGTCTAGGGACCATCTCCGGTTTCATTACTTGGTGGATCAAGGTACTATGTCACCTTCATCGATGACTTTAGCAGGAAGATATGGGTTTACTTTCTGAAACACAAGTCAGATGTGTTTACTACCTTCAAGAAGTGGAAAGCTGAAGTTGAAAATCAGACCGGCTTGAAGATCAAATGCCTGAGGTCTGACAATGGACGAGAGTACAAAAAATCAGAGTTTAAAACATTTTGTGCAGCTGAGGGAATTAGATTAATAAGAACAATTCTCAGTAAGGCAAGACAAAATGGTATTGCAGAAAGGATGAACAGAATATTGAATGAGCGAGCAAGAAGCATGAGGATTCATTCCGAACTACCAAAGACATTTTGGGTTGATGCTATGAACACAGCAGCATATTTGATTAATAGAGGGTTGTTAGTACCCTTGAAGTTCAAATTTTCCGAAGAAGTATGGACAAGAAAAGAACTCAAGTACTCTCACTTGAAAACTTTTGGTTGTACTGCGTATGTTCATGTTGATCTAGAGAAGAGAGATAAGCTTGATGCTAAGGCTGTGAAATGCTACTTCATAGACTATGGCTCTGACATGTTCGGGTACAGGTTTTGGGATGACAAAAATAGGAAAATTCTAAGACACTGCAATGTGACCTTTGATGAAAATGTCCTGTAAATGACAAAGAGAAGATAAACTCTGACACTACAAAGCAAGTGAGAGTTGAACTTGAGTGGCAGAAAAATTCACGTAGTGATGTTACAACATAAGCTCAAGAAACTCTTGATCTTGTTGCTGAAGAACCAGATGTGAAGCAAGTTATACCTAAGCAGGTGTTGAGGAGATCATCCAGAACTATCAGAGCACCAGATAGATATTCACCCTCATTACGTTATTTGTTGCTGACTGACAAAGGAGAACTAGAGTCCTTTGATGAGGCCCTACAAGTGGAAGATTCAACCAAGTGGGAGCAAGCCGTGGATGATGAGATGAGCTCACTTGAAAAGAATAAAACGTGGGTGTTGACTGAGTTACCTACAGGAAAGAGAGCTTTGTTGAACAAATGGGTGTTCAGAATCAAGGCTGAACCAGATGGAAGAAGGAGGTTTAAGGCTCGGTTAGTAGTTAAAGGATATTTACAAAGGAAAGACATTGATTATGCTGAGATCTTTTCTCTGGTTGTGAAATTAACTACTATCCGAATTCTGCTGAGTATTGTTGCACCGGAGAATTTGCACCTTGAGCAAATGGATGTAAAAATAGTGTTTTTACATGGAGATCTAGATGAGGATATCTATATGCAACAACCAGAAGGGGTTGCAACTCCAGGCAAGGAGCACATGGTGTGTAAGCTCAATAAGAGCATGTATGAACTAAAACAAGCACCGAGACAATGGTACAAGAAGTTTGACTTCTTCATGTGCAAGAGTGGTTTCCACATGAGTGAAAAGAATCAGTGTTGTTACCTTAAGAAATACACTGATTCTTATATGTTTCTACTCCTGTATGTGGATGATATACTAATTGTTGGATCAAGCATGAGGGAGATAAACCACCTGAAGGCAAGCTTGTCTTCAATATTTGAGATGAAAGATTTTGGTGCAACGAAGCAGATTCTTGGGATGAGAATTTCTCGAGATAGATCTACTGACACATTAGATCAATCCCAAGAGCAGTACATTGAGAAGGTGTTGTCCAAATTCAAGATGAATGATGCTAAACCCAAGACTACCCCTTGGCAAATCGTATTAAATTGTCAAAGGGGCAATCTCCCAAGACAGTTGAGGAACGTGAACACATTGCATCAGTTTCGTACGCTTCTGCAGTTGGGAGTTTGATGTATGCTATGGTTTGCACTAGACCTAACATAACACATGCAGAGGGAGTTGTTAGCAAGTACATGACAAATCTAGGGAAAGAACATTGGGAAGTTGTGAAGTGGCTTCTGAGATATCTTAGAGATACATCCAATACTTCACTTTTGTTATGGCAATGACAAAGTAGTTCTGCAAGGTTTTGTGGATGCTGATCTTAGTGGAGATGTAGACTCTAGCAAGAGCACATTTGGATATATCTACACTATAGATGAAACAGCAGTGAGTTAGATGTCCAAGCTTCAGAAACGCGTCGCTCTTTCATCTACTGAAGCTGAGTACGTGGCAATAGTTGAAGCTAGAAAGGAGATGATATGGATGATAAACTATCTAGAAGAGTTAGACATGAAGCAATGCAAGAAGATTCTTTATACTGATAGTCAAAGTGCCATACAGCTGGTGAAATACCCAGTCTATCATTCAAGGACAAAACATATTAGAAGGCAATACCATTTCACTCGTAGGTTAGTGGAAGAAGGTGATATGTGTTTGGAGTGTTGGATGATGGAAGTCTCACATCGACTAATTTAGAGAATGATCATGGGTTTATAAGTGAGGAATACTAACTCCATTGGTGTGAGGCCTTTTGGAGAAGCCCAAAGCAAAGCCATGAGAGCTTATGCTCAAAGTGGACAATATCATACCATTGTGGAGAGTCGTGTTCGTCTAACATAGTATCAGAACCATGCCCTAAACTTAGTCGTGCTAATAGATTGGTAAATCCTCAACTATCGAACAAATAACTCCAAAAGAATAGGAGTCAAGCCTCCTCGAAGGCAGTCAAAAATGACTAAGACTCCAAAGGAGTCGAGCCTCGATTAAGGGGAGGTGCACTTTGTTCGAGGGGAGGTGTTGGATGATGGAAGTCCCACATCGACTAATTTAGGGAATGATCATGAGTTTATAAGTGAGGAATACTAACTCCATTAGTGTGAGGCCTTTTGGGGAAGCCCAAAGCAAAGCCATGAGAGCTTATGCTCAAAGTGGACAATATCATACCATTGT